CACACGCTAATGGCTAACAATACTGGAAGGAGGAAAAAAAAACCCACCCAGGGGAGGCTGTCAGGGTCACACAAAGAGCTGTGACAGTAATAGGCACCCTGACAGAGAAAGAAGGCGATCAATTATAAGCCGTTTGCTGAAATTGCTGCCTGTCAAAGCCTGCTTACAGCTGTGCTCCATCTGATTTTCATGGGAAATTATTCCTTATTCTACAGTCTAGAATACGCGAGAGGAAAGACCCCAGACAGCCCAGGTTCAATCAGGGTCCATTCTGCAAAGAAGTTAATGACCCCTGGAAAGATGAGTTGGTGCAGAGTGGGAGGCCCAAAAGGGAAACAGAGGCAGGTCTTCTCCCTCTGGGCAGCTGGGGACAGCACACGGGGGACCCCAAAAGGCCCACTCCCAGCATACACTGGAAACGCATCCTACATCTCCAAATTCACCATTTTCAAAACAGAAGAGGATTGCTTTTAGATTTAAAGTGATGCTTGCAGAGGTTAAAACCCAAACCAACACCAAACAGCAAAATACAATTTTTAATCTTTACATTTGAAACTTGCTCCTCCTTGTCATTAATATCCATCAGAGTTACTCCTTTCCGGGCTCATCAATTCTTTTTTTTCCCCCAGAAGCAAAGAACATACAAGTGACTGCTAAGATGTTTTTTAATGTCCTGAAACCCACTATTACAGGTAGATATCTTCGTGTGTGAAAATAGGCGGGGACCAGGGTGGCTTGAGAGGAAACTGACAGCAATCGCTTGCCAGGTTAAGCACCCCTGTTCTGAACATCCGCATCCAAAGAGCGCCAACAGGAGCCGCAAGTGAGAAATCCCATGCCTGACCTCATGGGAGGGGTTGCAGTCAACACTGGGGTGCGCTAAAAGCACTGTGTCAGTATTATCTTCAACCCATGTGTATACCAAGTGCATGAAACATAAGTAAATTTTGTGTTTAGACTTGGGTCCCATCCCTAAGACATCTCATTATGCATTTGCAAATATCCAAAATAAAAAAAAAATCCAAAATCTGAAACATTTCTGATCCCAAGCATTTTGGATAAGGGATACTCAGTCTGTATGCTTTCCCAATAGTTTTTTCTTTTTGTGCTTTTAAAAAAAAAGATTTATTTATTTAATTTTGAAAGACAAGAGTTACAGAATGGGGGGGAGGGGGAGAAGGGGAGGGGGAGGGAGCGAGAGAGGGAGAGATGCTATCTGCTGGTTCATTCCTCAAATGGCCACAACAGCGAGTGTGGGTCAGGTCAATGCTACAAACATAATCCAGGTCTCGCACTTGGGTGGCAGCAACCCAAGGACTTGGGCCGTCTTAATCTGCTGCCTCCCAGGGTGTGCATTAGCAGGAAGCTGATGGGAAACAGAGCAGCCGGGACTCAAACCAGCGCTCAGATGTGGGATGCTGGCATCGCGAGCAGTGGTTTAAGCCACGGCACCACAATCCCAGCCCCTCCCCTTCTGTGACCTTTGGTATTCTTTTATTTAATTTCTTCTTCCCTTCACCACTTGGTTTTTATTGAGTTTTTTATTTATTTGAAAGACACAGAGATGAAGACAGAAGTAGAGAGACAGACCAACAGACAGGCAGACAGCATCTTATTCACTGGTTACTCCCCAAATGCCCACAGTCACCAAGGCTGGGCCAGGCCAAAGTCAGGAGCTGGGAACTCAATCCAGATGTCCCACGTGGGTGGCAGGAACCCAGTTGTTTGAGTATCACTTGCTGCCTCCCAGGGCCTGCATCAGTGGAAAGTTGGAACTGGGAGTAGAGCTGGACTCAAACCCGAGCACTTTAATAGAAGATGCAGGTGAATTAGCCACAAAGCCCAGCGCCTGCCATCCTGAACAAGGTCAACAATGGAAGCCACCCCACTTTCAGCCTGATCCGCAGCTTGCCCGCCACCTCTAAATGTCTAAGCGGTGCTCAATGTTCACTTGGAAAAGGCCCTCACAGCTATGATAGCCACAGCTCAATAGCAGACATGGAAATGGCGGGACCATGCTAACGTGTGACATATCTCATGCATGTTATAGACCCTTAAAATAAATTGTGGTGGGGGGGAATAATTCCCTTTTAAGAACTGTAGCATGTAACACAAGCAGATTACACAGAGAGGAAAGTCATTATTCCTAAGGGCGTTAAGTGCTTCCCCCAGGCTGCCGCACTGTGCCAGCTCCCCACGGGCACACGCCCCGTAAACAGCCTTGCTTCTACAATCAGGGATGAATTAGTCCACTCGTCTTCACTACAGCCTAATACCTGAGAGGACCCGCTCATGAAGAACGAGAGGTATTTCCGTTTATGGTTTGGGAGGCTGAGCGTACCAGATCAGCAGCCCCACCAGTCTGGCATCCGCTGAACACCTGCAGGGCGAGGCTCACGTGGCGTGCCGGGATGCAGAGAGGCAGGAAGCAGGCCTTCTACCCTCTGTGTGTTCTCGCCTTCTAAGGCTCCCATGACTCAACCCTGGGACTCCTCCCTGGCAACCTACCCAAGCCAACCACTCCCCGGAGGCCCACTTTCACACTTCAGAATTGGATCAAGCCTCCACTCCACTCCATCAACCATTGGCATTAATCCGTTAATCATCCACATAAGACTCTGGGTTTTCTGCCTGAGTTTGGGGAGCCAAGTTCTGCTTAATCCATATCAAGGGGTATAAAAAAAATGAAGACACTCAAAATGCATTTGATGCTCTGGGACCCGTTGCTTCCTATAAAAGATGGATGAATGATATGGGGTTTCTTACAGAACCCACCAGAGAAGGAACAGAGCAGAAAGACCACAAGCGCCGATGGATTTCAGCTTAGCAAAAGAACTGTATCTTGGAAGCCAAACCAGACTAGGGGAGGCGGCTGCACACTTGCTTTGCATGAAGAGGTGGGTGGGACAGGAGGAGAGAGCTCGGAGGAGGTGGATGAAGAATGGGAGAGGATTTGGGGATGGGGAAAAGAGAGACAGAAGGAAGGGCTGTAAGCCGGCAGCCGCTGGGACCCACTCCGAGGCTGGCAGGCCCCCACGTGACCCAGACCCCCAACAGGGGCATCACCGCTCCCTGGAGGGCGTGCCACACAGCTGCCTGCCCAGGGCACCAGCTCCCAGGAGCGTCAGTCCAAACCCAGCTGGGGCGCGGCCCCCTAGAACTTGTATTTAAATACCTGTCACTGCCTACATTTCCTCCATTCTTATTTTGTACTTAAGACAAAAGCAAGAAGTGTAACACAGAGTTATTACTTCAAAGTCAGTCAAAACTTGATGAGACACTATAATAGACCGTGTCACTCAGATCATTTCTGAAGGGGTAGCTGACTAGGAACAGCCAAAAACGTGGGAACAGGATGGAACAGAGCAGCACTGCCAAGCACGGGCTGCAATCAGACCCCCATACATGGTTGGGGCTGGGGAGGGGTGGTGCGTGCAAAATGGCCCACACTGTGGAAACAGGCTGGGCTGTCCCACAGAAAGCCTAACATAGAATTATTTATGACTCAGTAATTCTACTTCAAGGTGCACACCCCAAAGAATTGAGAACAAGGAGCCCAGCACTAACTTGGGGGGTCTATGTTCATAGCAGCATCGCTCACCAAAGCCAAATGGCAACAAGAACCCAAGTGTCCACCTACAGAGGCACACAGCCACAAAATCCGGCACACACACACAGTGGAATATTATTCAGCTGTGAAAAAGCAAGTCAGACACATGCCCCAACATGGATGAACCTAAAATTCTGACAATAGGCAAAGAGAAATAAATCAAAATACAAGTATCATATAATCCTACTTACTTGAGGTAGCTGGAATCGGCAAAAGAGGTCAAAAGTCTAACAGAGGTTACCAGGAGACTGGGGGGCAGGGAGGAAGGAGAGCTATGAGTTAATTAGCACGGGGATTCTCTCTGAGATGATGGATATACTTGGTGATGACAGTGGCAAAACAATGTGAACACACTGAACGCCACTCAGTGGTGCACGTCACCGTGGCAAGTGCTGTCCTATGTTCTACCACACCAAAATGACAGCACTCCAGGAATCACTTACCTGTAGCCAAAAAAAAAATTGTAGGAAAGGAACAGATTAGTAATTTAACAGGACTTTCCCAGTTCCTAGGCTTAGTTTTCTTTCCCAAAACAGCTAAGCAAAACTAACGTGGGATGGGCGGAGCCGGCAGTGTCGGGGATACAGATGTTCTGCCACAGCAAACAGCCTCTGTTAGTACCACACTTCATGAATGAATGAACAAAGAGGGGCTGGCATCGTGGGGCAGCAGGTTAAACTGCTGGAGTGCTGCTTTGAGTCCTGGCCCCTGCTAATGCACCTGGGAAGGCAGAGGGTGATGGCCCAAGTGTCCAGGCCCCTGCCACTCCTGTGAGAGACCAGGATGGAGCTCCTGGCTCCTGGCTTCAGCCTGGTACAGCCCTGGCTCTTGTGGCCATTTAGAAGTAAACTAGTAGATGAAAGATTTCTCTCTTCCTGTCATTCTGCCTTTTAATAAATAAATTTTTAAAGATTTATTTACGTATTTGAAAGGCAGAGTTACGGAGAGACAGAGGCAGAGAGAGATTTCATCTGCTGGTTCACTCCCTAAATGGCCGCAACAGCCAGAGCTGAGCCATCTGAAGCCAGGAGCCTGGAGCTTCTTCCAGGTCTCCCATGTGGGTGCAGGGGCCCAAGGACTTGGGCCATCTTCTACTACTTTCCCAGGCCACAGTAGAGAGCTGGATCAGAAGTGGAACAGCCAGGACTCAAACTGGCAACCATATGAGATGCTGGCACTGCAGACAGTGGCTTTACCCACTACACCACAATGCAGGCCCCAAAAATAAACTTAAAAGATAAATAAGGAAACACTTTTCTTTCATGAAAAAAAAAATGTCTATAGCAACTGCTGGGCCCTGGGTGAAGATAACCTGTGCCCATGTCAGGTGAAGGTGGGAACAGCCCTTGCCTGCCCAGTTCTGGGTCTGAGGTCTGGGCCAACATCTTACCCTGAATGTCTGCTCCATTTTCTCCCTGTGGGACACCTGATCCAGGGTGCCATCTGTCTGGCTCCTTTTCAGACCAGTTGGAATGTCAGGGACGTTGCTGAAATCTGCAGGGAAAATGACAAGGATATGCATGAGATCAGTCATTGAGAGAGAGGGGTCATGACGGGACCAAAGGCTCAGACAGAGACAGGAAAGCAAGAGACAACCTACAACCCCGTAGGCGGCTCCGAGGGCCCCTCATGCCCTCAGGGAGGTACGACCTGCACACGCTGTCTTATGAAACAGGGTCCTGCTCACTGAAGAAACAACATCCTGTTTGGTCAAAGGAGACCAATGAAAATAATTACTGAAATGCTTTGTCACTCTTCCCATTGCTGCACAAACCAGATCTCCCAAAGCACTGCTCTCAAATAATATATTTGAACCAAGAATCAAATTGCAGTGACTTTTGGTGGTATTTCCCTAGGGTGGGCTGAGGGCAAAATTGCAAGGGACATTATAGAAAACCAGTGGTGTCATATCATAGATACTTATTGCCACCCACAACTTGATCATTCTGCAAGCAACGCTCTCTTTTTTGCAACAATCACAATTTCATTCTAAACCTAAAGTCCCAGGGGAAAAAGTAAACTCTTGTGAGCAGAGGTTCAAAAATAATATTAAAAGTACCTAGCGCATGCAGGTTTCCAGCCTACGGCTACACACACACACCCTTCTCAATAGTTCTAGCCACTGTTTCTCAAGTTAACAAGTTCAAGAGCAATGCCCCTTTTCTCTCTCTCAGCACCAGGCACCAACCACCTGTACCCTTCTCCTCCTCTGCCCCCAGCTCCTGGGTACAGCTGATGCCCCACCTACCTCCAGGGGCTCAACGATTACTTGGCAGACAAAAGCCACATCAAGGGGTACGTGCCCTCACCAGCAGATGTGGCAGTAGTGGCCTCTAGCCCACCGCCTGCCGACTGTGTCACGCCCTACACCAAAGAATCACATCAAGTCTAAGGAATAGGAAAAGGCCAGCCCGGCAGGAGTGATAAAAAGCTTGGGGCCAGGATGGCCCTGTCGATGTGTTAGACACCACAGGAAGTGGAGCTACAGAGAGCAAAGATGGTGACGACACTGACCTCTTTGGAGAGCAGGAGGAGGAGGGGGAGGAAGAGGAGGAGAGTGAAGAGGCAATGAGGCTGAGCGAAAAACAACTCGTGTGGAATGCGTCAAAGGAAGCCAAAAAACCCAGACGTGTTCCCAAGTCTCATCTCACTAGATTGGAACCTTGGGATGATGAGACGCATACGGCAAAACTGGAAGACAGAATCTTAAGTATTCGAGTAGATGGCTCTAATCTACTCCCGTGGGGTACAGAATTGAAAAGCTTCAAATGCAGCGTGTCGTTGACGATGGCAAACTGGGGACACAGATGCTGCAGGAACAGACCACGGCTTTGAGGGACTACGTACAATCCAGGGATGTGGCTGCTCTCAGCAAGATCGAAAATCCATCCAGGATCATTTCACTTCAAAAAAGAAGCTTGGAAGATGAAGAAACAAAATCAAGAGCAGTGGAAAGAGCACTCCACCAACATACAACCCAAGTCTTCATCCCAAGTCTGGCACTGGATAGACTGTTGCTCAACTAGGTGAAACTAGATGGCTTCCAAAGCCAGTTGGTTCCAACCAGAAGTCAAGGTGAGGGGATCTAAGCTCCAAAAGCATGGAGAGATGTGCGGGCAAAGAAACCGCCCAGCTGGACAGGGCAAGAAGGCGGCCTCCGGAAGCCATTTAAAAGCTCTGAGATCCTGGGGGGGCAACACAGCTGAGAGACAGCAACACCAACCCATGATGACCTGCTCTGCCCACCACGACACAGGCTCTTCCAAGACAGGAGGAGGCTGCCAGCGAAACACCTCGATGGACAACGTAACTGCAGCTCTGGCTTCTTCCTCCTTTCTCTTCCAACACCCTGCTCCCGCCCAGAGAGTCTAAGCTACACTTCAGTGTTGCTGATGAGCAGTCACTGGGGAAATGTCAGGTAGTAATGACAGGCGAGGATCCTGGCACTGGCCTCCTGCAGTCCCTGGAAGCCACATCACACAGGCGATTCACTCAGCGGCAGGCTGGGAAGTAAGATCAAACTCCACACCAAAAGTGACCCTCACTACCTCCTGACTCCTGCGTGCACACCATTGTTTAAGAGAGATCAAACTAAACAACACAGCCTCATCCCTGTGGCGGTCGGCACTTGCACCCATCTATTCAACATGCACTTGTTAAACACAAGCACGGCGCTAGGAACACAGGGACGAGCGAGACGCTCTCAAGGTTTCTGCTGGTTTTGTTTTCTGTTGCTAATGACAGAATCTCACAGACTGGGCAAACGATAAAGCGCTCTGATCTCTCTCCCTCTTCAGTCATGGGGGCCCCATGCAGACAACGTTATCTAACCCTAATCATCTCCAGAGGTGTGTTCCCACCCATACACACCCCGTTTCCAGCTTCACAATGGGGATTTGACCCCAACATGAGTTTCCACAGGGAAACTACAGAGATTTCTGCCTCTGGTCTGGGCAGAGGTCCGTGGTGAGGGAGGGGAAGAAGGAGATGAGTAGGACAAAGTGTCACAGATGACATGGGACAAGGCCACACAGGGATGAGTGAGTTCCCTGTGGGCCTTAAAAGACTTCCTAGAAAAGGAGGCACTTAAGGGGGCCAGCATTATGCCGTAGCATGTTAAGCCACTGACTGCGACACACAGCATCCTATATGCATGCCAGTTCGAGTCCTGGCTGCTCCACTTCTCATCCAGCTCCCTGTTATTGTGCCTGGGAAAGCAGTGGAAGATGATCCTGGCTCCAGCCTGGCCCAGCCCTGGCCATTGCAGCCATTTGGTGAGTGTAGCGGCAGATGGAAGGTCTGTCAATCTGCCTTTCAAACAAATAAATAAATAAATCTTTTTTAAAAATAAAAGGAGACATTTGAGTCAAGCCTTGAAATCTAAGGGACATTTGCCTGTCTTCAAAGCTGAGGACGGGGCCAGTGTGTGGTGTGGTGGGTTAAACCGCCATCTGCAATGCCAGCATCTCATATGAGCACTGGTTTGTGTCCCGGCTGCTCCACTTCTGATTCAGCTCTCTGCTAATGTGCCTTGGAAAGCAGTGGAAGATGGCCCAAGTACTTTGGCCCCTGCACCCACAAGGGAGACCTGGAAGAAGCTCCTGGATCCTGGCTTTGGTCTGGCCCAGCCAAAGAGTGTTCCAGCTAATGGAAGACACCTCCCTCTGTCTCTCTTTCTCTCTCTGTAACTGCCTTTTGAATAAATAAAATAAATCTTTCTTTTTAAAAAAAAAAAGATGAAGAGACAAGACAAGGTGGGCAGTGGAGACTGGGGGTTCCATGAATGGGAAGCAAACAGGGTAAAAGCAAGGGGTGTGATGAGCCAGGCAGAGTCAGGAATTTGTTGATTGTGGCTGTGAAAGACAGTAGAGCCGGGAGAAGAGGGGGCCCAGGATGGAGCAATGCATGGAGGGCAGGAGCTTGGCAGAGAGGGCGGGTCAGAAAGTCGCAGTGACACAGCAGGTGCGAGGCGCAAGGACCCACAAGAACAGACTAGAGCAGCAGCGCTCATGTGAGCAATGGCAGAGTCAGTGGAGGCAGACTCCGGGAGTCACTGGAGAGGGGCTGGGAGAGCCCTGGTGTCTGTGTCTCGGCGCTGGGTAGACGGGGAGCGCGGGAAGGGTAGGAGTGGGGATGACAAGCCTACTAAAGTCGGCAAAGCTGAGTCCGGGATACATCCATGCCATTCAGGGCACATGGCCAGCGGTCAGGAGCCCAGGGTCCAAGCCCAGTCCCAGCGATTTGGAAATTCTAAGAATACACCCGCAGAGAAGGTGCAGAGTACATGTAAGATTTAGGCAAGAGAGGAACAGGGGCCGAGACTCTGAAACGCTGGCTAGCTTGAGCTTGCTTCTCAGAGGACATTACAGGAAAGCACAGCTTACGACACCACACTCAGAAAGGGCCAGCCCAGCACTAACAAGGGAAGCAGCGAGCGACCAACCTCGAGTGCAGTCTGGAACATTCCACAGCTGCAGACGCGCACGGCAGAGGAAAGGACCCTGCACGCCCCGCTCCTGCATGCCAGACACGCCCGCGGTCCTTGCTCCAACGGCCCCTGTAGATTTCTTCGCAGAGAAGCAGCCTTTAGGGCACAGCACTTTCCCACTAACTCCTTGGCTTGGCCAAGCAACTCTCACTTCAGCTGATTATCTGCCCAAACCCCAGGGTTGCTTAGGCTGATTATCTATCTGCCCAAACCCTGGGCAGACCCCAGGGGTCAGCCACTAAAGCCAACAGGATGGACGGCACCCAGCAGAGACTGGGCAGAGGGAGCCAGGAGGAGGGCCAAGGGGAGAACTCCAGCAGCGCCAGTGCACACAAGGTGGAGGAGGGGAGGGTCTCTCACCTCTGTGTCCACAGAGAAAGGGACCACACAGTGTCAAAGGACATCACCTGGGAATGGGGATCAAACGTGCACAACTGCTGTCCACCTGTAACCAGTGAGCAGGTGCTTCCCTATTTCCCAAGAATTACATCAAGGACAGGAAACGCGACAGGAAGCCACACCTGCGCTGACTCATGGCGATGCCCATGGCGCCACTCCACAGCGGGCAGGTATGAAGTCCTGCACACAGAGGACCCCTCGACCAGACCACCTCGAGCGCATGAGGAGCTCTGAGATGACGGGGCAGGGGAGCCTCGGAGCCTGGCGGATGCCCCAGACAATGGCGACATCCACGGTGGGTACCGGGGTAACGCCGAGTCAGCCCGTCAGTGTGTTCCCGAAACTCTGCAGCTTAGGTACCGAAAACTCTGCAAACCACGGCTTGCCTCTTACAAAGGGGAGCTCGTGTTTTCCGAGAAGACAGCTTGTGATGCAGGCAAGCAAGAGAAGAACCGTGGGGTTCACCTGATCTCAGGACACCCGACTCCTCCCTGTCAGCAGCCTGCCTGCCCCAGGGTAAAAGGCTCACCTGGGATCTGCAAGGGCACCCCACCACCCCTCAGCCTCCCAGACTCCAGGGAGGCTCTGGGTGCTGCTGGGCCCCAGA